CCAGGTGCAGGGTCTGCTGGCTGGGTGCTGGCAGGCTTGCACCTGGCACGGGCACCGTAGCCAGCCCATGCCCCTTTAAGGAGTCCGGGGCCGGGAAGGGGGCAGACGAGTTTCCCTGGTGTTGGCCAGAGTGGCCACCAGGGAAACCTGGGGAGGGCTAGCCTCCCACTAGTTCGAATTAAGGGTCTACACAGCCCTTAATTCGAACTAGTAAGTTCGAACTAGGCTTAATCCTCGTAAAATGAGGTTTACCTAGTTCGAACTAAGCGCTCCGCTAGTTCGAATTCAATTCGAACTAACGGAGCGCTAGTGTAGCGCCTATGAAAGTTAGTTCGAACTAACTTTGTAGTGTAGACATACCCCCTGGCAGTTTTTCAGGTTTGGTTTTGTGCTTTGCACTGTGTTTTTGGCCATGGATCCTAAGCTGCCTCTGGGCAGGCGATGGCCCCACACTGTGATGTTGGAAGTTCTGCTGCATTCTCAGGAGAGCATCATGACATTTGCGGCAGAGCTGGATTCAGAGCCCAGCTTTGAGCCCCTCACTCAGGCTGCATCCCCACTGCCCTTGCCCCCGAACTTATTCCTGCAGAGGTGAGTTTGGAGGCTGGACATCAGTTCTGACTGGTGGACCCAGCTTGTTATGCAGCAGTGGGACAATTACCAGTGGCTCCGAATCTTCCGGATGTGGAAGTCCACCTTCCAGGAGCTCTGTGCCTGGCTTGCCCCTGCCCCTGCCCTGCAACACCAGGACACCCGCTTGTGGCCTGCCACCCCCCTGGAGAAGCACATCGCTATTGCGCTGTGGAAGCTGGCCACCCCCAAAAGCTACAGCTCCATGGGATACCAGTTTGGCATGGGGAGGTCTACTGTCGGGGCTGTCTTGATGGAGGTAAGTCAGTCTCCCGGGACAGTCCATGGGGGCAGGAGCGGGAGGATAAGGGGGATGGTCAGGACTGGGCACAGGGAATGGGGGGTGAGGTGGGAGTGGTAGAAGCCTGCCTGGCCTCACCCTGCAGTGGTGCGGGGAGTATGGGAGAGTTACCTGAGGGGGGGCTCTTGGCTCCTGGGGGGGGAGCACCTCTCATCAGCTCACGCAACTCCTCTAATGTCTTCTTATGTGTGTTTGTATTTGTGCCTTTCTGCATGTGGTGATGGCCATCAACGCAGAGCTGCTTCACAGGACTGTCCACCTCAGAGACCTGGATGCTATCGTAGCCAGATTTGCGGGGCTGGGTTTTCCGAACTGCGGTGGAGCACTCGACAGGACTCACATCCCGATCCACACACCACCCCATCAAGCAGCCCAGTATATTAATAGAAAGGGCTACTCTTTGATGGTGATGCAGGCCCTGGTCAACCACCATGGACAATTCACAGACATTTGTGTTGGGTGGTCAGGCCGGGCACACGATGCCCGCGTATTCCAGAACTCATACCTGTACCGCAGGCTGGGGCATTTTTCCCAGAGAGGAACTATGCAGTCGGGGATGTGCAGATGCCTACGTGCATCATGGCCAACGCGGCCTACCCCCTTATGCCCTGCCTCATGAAGCCCTACATTGGCCACGTGGATGCGAGCAGGGAACTGTTCAACTCCCACCTCAATAGGGCTCGCTTCCAGGTGGAGTGTGCCTGAAGGGCAGATTTAGATGCCTGCTCACTTGACTGGACATGGGGGAACACAACATCCCCACTGTGGTTGCTGCATGCTGTGTGCTGCACAATCTAGTGGAGAGGAAAGGGGAGGCCTTCCTCCCTGTTTGGGGGACACAGGCTAATGTGGAGGGGAGACACTTTGAGCAGCCCTGGACAGCTGCCATCCGGCAAGTCCACCAGCTGGGATTGCGCATTCAAGAAGTCCTGAGGGAGCAATTCTCCCATGGAGGCCGATGATTTTCCCCAGGGCCTTCCATCTGTGGGATTTCCCCATGCACCCAGTGCCTTCCTCCCCAAAACCTCTCCCGGCCACACAGTCACACATTGTACGCATTCATCACACACTGACAACAGACACAGATGTTTTTGAAAAACTGTTTACAGTTTATTTCACTGTTGTTTTTTTGAAAAACTTAAATACTCTTTTGTTCAGAAAAATAAAGTGTTTGTAAACAAAGTAAAGTGCTTCCCTCAGTGACTCTCATAGGTGGGAAGAGGGGTGTCAACCTGGAAGGGGGGGAGGGAGGCTCAGCGCCGAGGGTGCTGCCTTGATGAAGAGCCCTTGGCACTTTGGCTGTGGAGGCCTTCTCTCAGACAGCCACGCCTGGGGATTACAGTGGATGAGAAGCTGGATATGAGTCAACAGTGTGCCCTTGTAGCCAAGAAGGCAAATGGCATATTAGGAGGAGCATTGCCAGCAGATCCACAGAAGTGATTATTCCCCTTTATTCAGCTCTGGTGAGGCCACATCTGGAGTATTGTGTCCAGTTCTGGGCCCCTGACAATAGAAAGGATGTGGACACATTGGAGAGGGTCCAGCAGAGGGTGACCAAAATGATTAGGGGGCTGGAACGCATGACCTATGAGGAGAGGCTGAAGGATTTGGGTTTGTTTAGTCTGCAGGAGAGAAGAGTGAGGGGGGATTTGATAGCAGCCTTCAACTTCCTAAAGGGAGGTTCCAAAGAGGATGGAGAGAGGCTGTTCACAGTAGTGACGGGTGGCAGAACAAGGAGCAATGGTCTCAAGTTATAGTGGGGGAGGTTTAGGTTGGCTATTAGGAAAAACTATTTCTCTAGGAGGGTGGTGAAGCACTGGGATGGGTTACCACAGGAGATGGCCAAATCTCCATCCCTAGAGGTTTTTAAGTCTCGGCTTGTCAAAGCCCTGGCTGGGATGATTTAGTTAGGATTGTCCTGCTTTGGGTAGGGGGCTGGACTCTATGACCTCCTGAGGTCTCTGCCAGCCCCAGGATTCTATGATTCTAAACTGCTGATAGAGACCTGTACATGCTTCAGGGATTAACACAGCTCATGCAGCAATTGCAGTGACCCACCCAGTGTTGTCAAAACACAGCTCAGGATATCCTGTGGATACTACAGAGAATTAAAGATTAAAGGATAGCCCCCTCTAGTTAGCACTGAGTCCTGTCATGCTGTAACAAACCCCTTTGCTCAAACTTGGCCTCTCCACAAGACCCTTTCGTCACATTCCAGGTAGGGTGCTGAGCGTTACTAAAGCAAAGTGTATATGATGAAAACCACTTCAGGCTGAAGGTTTGCTTCCTGTACATATGGCTCCAGATTCAGAGTCATAAATCCTTCCCACAGCCAGCTCTTATTCTTCCACTTCACACCTTCCAGGTTTTGTTCTCCAATCAGAGAATGGAAAGATGTGAAAATCTGTAATCCCTTTGGGATGCTACTTGATAGCTGTCAATGTCCAGCACAGTGGATTTTCTGTTGAGTTTCATATGTTCTATTAATGCGGGGACTGACCTCCATGCCTATGTCTTTTAGTCTGCCTGGAGAGCAAACAGTGCTTTTCCACCCCCACTGGGTAGCAAGGCAGCATGTAGGGGAAACCGAGGCAGAAATAGAAAGTAAAAAATATTACAAAAAATCTAACTTTGTCACAGCATATTCAACAGAGTCATCACCACAAAAATGTGTCAGAAAGAAGCTGAGATTCATAGTTTGATGACAACATATGCCCTCTGATTGAATGTGCATAAGCCACACTAATGCTGAGCTTTAGTATCTGAAGCTGAGTGAATGAGCTACATGTTATTAGCCTGAATTTCATTAGCTTCAGTAATGCTACACGTTTTTTCTTTGTAAGATGATATTTTGCAGACTAATTAAAAATGCTATAAACAGTTACTTGGATATTACTGTTCAATCATGTCACTCATATTTATTCAGAAGCTGCACACAACCAAAAGACAATTCTCTTATTTCATGTTTACCAGCTATGCTGCATTTTCTCTAGAGAATAACATACAAGAAAAAATCTTTTGCTCAAAATATTGTTGGAAATATGGTAATAATATATATACAGTGTGATTACTAGAAAAAAATAGCAGAAACTAGTACAACTTGATCTACAAACCAAAGCTTCCATAACAAAGTACAAGGCATCAAGATGATTTTTCTGGTTAAAAACAAATAATCAAATATTTCCACTAACAACTGAGTTAAGCATCAATACACTTACAACTTCAAAGTCTGAGCATCAGTTGAAAGAGTTACTCACCTTGTGCAGTAATGGTGGTTCTTCGCGATGTGTCCCCGTGGGTGCTCCACTCTGGATGCTGGTGCGTCCTCGCGCCGGTGACCGGACACTTTTCTAGCAGTTTCTGCCATGCTGTGCAGGTGCCATGGCACACTCTAGTGTTGTTGGAATTGTTCGGCATGTGCATGGCGCGGCTCTTCCATTCATTCTCTACCCGCTAGAGTATAAGGCTCCAAGCAGGGGAAGGAAGGAGGGTAGTGGAGCACCAACGGGGAAACATCTCGAAGAACCACCGTTATTGCACAAGGTGAGTAACCCTTTCTTCTCCTTCAAGTGGTTCCCATGGGTGCTCCGCTCTGGGTGACTACAGAGCAGTTGTTGGCTCGCGGAGGTGGGTTTGGAGCTGTGTAGTAGTAACTGTGGACAAAACAGCAAATCTCACTGCCATGGAGGATGCTATGGAAGAGGAAAGTGCATAAAAAAGTGGTCAGATGACCAGGTGGCAGCGTCGCAAATGTCTTGGAGTTTAACGTTACGAAGGAAGGCGGTTGTGGCAGCTACTGCCCTGGTAGAATGAGCTGTGATACTTCCAGGTAAGTGTTTGTTATGCAAGGCATAACAAGTTCGAATGCAGGAAGTAATCCATTCAGAAATTCTCTGAGAAGAGATTGTTTGTCCCTTAGATCTTTCAGCATAAGAGATGAAAAGTCTAGGTGAGGTTCGCCACAACTTCATGCGGTCAACGTAGAACACCAGAGCTCTCTGGATGTCGAGAGTGTGCCATGCAGCCTGGACTGGGTCGACGTGAGGCTTCGGAAAGAAGGCACGTAAGTGTATGGGTTCATTCACGTGGAAGGGGGAGGGCACTTTAGGGAGGAACTTGGGGGGGGTCGGAGTATCACTCTGTCCTTTGTAAATACAGTGTATGGAGGGTAGGCCATCAAGGCCGCAAGCTCACTCACCCTCCTGCTGGAGGTAATAGCGACGAGGAAGGAGAATTTCATAGATAAATGAGCCCAAGAGCAGGTGGCTAGAGGCTCAAATGGTGGTTTTGTCAAGCTTTTTAGAACATGGATCAAGTCCCAGATGGAGACCGGAGGTTGGACAGAAGGAAAGGTATTCTGTAGGCCTTTAAAGAAACATTTGGTCAGTGGATTAGCAAGAAAAGAAACGCCATCCGTGGAATGGTGAAAAGCAGCTATGGCGGCGGCGTGGACCTTGATACTGCTGAGTGCTAGGCCCGACTTTTTAAGGGATAGTAAGTAATCCAGTAAGGTAGATAAAGGAGCGAGCTCTGGAGGAGTTGCATGTGTTCGAGCATACCAATGAGAGAAGCGAGTCCATTTGTACAGGAAAGTTCTTCTAGTAGAATGCCTCCAACTGTTAATCAGGATGTCCTTCACCTGTTCCGAGCAGGCAGTCTCGGCATCCTGGAGCCATGAAGGAGCCAGGCATGGAGATGGAGCTTGAGAAAGTCTGGATGGAGAGTCCATCCATGGTTCTGCGAGAGAAAGCCGTGCTGAAATGGGAAGGGATGCGGGTCCATCACCGCCATCTTGAGGCGGTAAGGATACCATGTCTGTCTGGGCCACGCAGGTGCCACTAGTATGACCTGCGCCTGGTCCGTCCTGATTTTGCTGAGGACTTTGTGTAGGAGCGGGAAGGGCGGGAACGCATAAAGGAGAGGGGCGTCCCACGTGATCGAAAAGGCGTCTCCGAGGGAAAGTTTCCCCAGAGCTGCTCTAGAGCAGTAAAGGTGGCATTTGCTGTTGTTTTTTGTGGCGAAGAGATCCACGTCTGGGTGGCCCCAGCAAAGGAAGAGTGGGGTGAGGACGTGTCTGTCGATCTCCCATTTGTGTTGGACTTGGAACGTATGACTTGGGGCGTCTGCTGTGATGTTGAGTACTCCCAGAAGGTAAACGGCCGAAGGGGTGACCCCATGCGTCAGGCACCAGTTCCAGAGCTTCATAGCTTCCGAACACAGGGAAGGGGATCATGCCCCACCTTGTCAGTTGATGTAGTACATGCAGGTGGTATTGTCCATCATGATAGTAATGGACTTGTGAGCTATGTACTGATTGAAATGTTGGCATGCATATCTGACTGCTTGCAACTCGAAGAGGTTGATATGGAAAGTTTGCTCCATGAAAGACCATTTGCCTTGGGCTGTGATATTTCCTAAATGGGTTCCCCATCCCATGGGTGAGGCATCTGTTATAACTGTGGGTATGTCTACACTACAAAGTTAATTCAAACTAACAGACGTTAGTTCAAATTAACTTTAATAGGTGCTACACAGGCAAACCACTAGTTCGAACTTAATTCGAACTAGCGGAGTGATTAATTCGAACTAGATAAACCTCATTCCACAAGGACTAACCTCTAGTTCAAATTAAGTAGTTCAAATTAAGGGCTGTGTAGACACTTAATTCGAACAAGTGGGAGACTAGCCCTTCCCAGCTTTCCCTGGTGGCCACTCTGGGCACCACCAGAAAAACTCGTCTGCCCTCCTCCCAGCCCCGGAGCCCTTAAAGGGGCACGGTCTGGCTACGGTGCCTGTGCCAGGTGCGAGCCTGCCAGCACCCAGCCAGCAGACCCTGCACCTGGCATGGCATGAACCAGCCACCCGCTGCCACCCAGTCCTCCGCCTCTTCCCAGGACCAGGCTGGCGGCTCCCGGGAGCCTGCGCGGGCACCCAACTGGTCTAATGCAGAGATTGTGGACCTCATCCACGACCTCCGCACTAGACACAAGAAAATGGCCATCTAGGGCAGGATAGCTGCCAGCCTGGCCACCCAGGAGCAGGTTTGCATGAAAATCAGCGTGGTCCAGTGAGACCCCTGACCCCGAGCCCTGAGCTTAGAATGTCCGTACTGGGTCAGAACAAAGGTCCATCTAGCCCAGTAGCCTGTCTGCCGACAGTGGCCAACACTAGGTATCCTGGAGGGGATGGACCAAAGACAGTGACCAAGCCATTTGTCTCGTGCCATCCATCTCTAGCCTTCCACAAACAGAGGCCAGGGACACCATTTCTACCGCCTGGCTAATAGCACTCCATGGACCCAACCTCCCTCACTTGATCTCACTTCCCTTTAAACTCTGCTATAGTTCTAGCCTTCACAGATTCCTGCAGCAAGGAGTTCTACAGGTTGACTCTTTGCTTTGTGAAGAAGAACTTTCTGTTATTAGTTTGAAACCTGCTACCCATTAATTTCATTTTGTGTCCTCTAGTCCTTCTATTATGGGAACTAATGAAGAACTTTTCTTTATGCACCCTCTCCACACCACTCGTGCTTTTATAGACCTCTATCATATCCCCCCTCAGTCTCCTCTTTTCTAAGCTGAAAAGTCCCGGTCTCTTTAGCCTCTCTTCATATGGGACCTGTTCCAAACCCCTGATCATTTTAATTGCCCTCCCTTCTCCCACCCTCTCTCTTCCCCTCTTCCACCTCCTTTTCCCAGTCTCCCCAGACGTTAATCCCCCCCCCCGCCAGTTTTGTTCAATAAAGAGAGTTTCTATTTTTGAACACACGTGTCCTTTATTTTGTACATCAGGAAGGGGGGCGAGAGAGGGGTAAGTGGAAGGAGATGAGGGACGAATGGGGTACGAGCCCCCGATGGGGAGGACTGGGGTGGCTCTGTGGGCTCCTCGGGGTGGAAGCTCTCCTGCAGCCCCCCGGTTGACACCCCCCCGGATGGCAGCCTGCGGCAAGTGCAGCCGGGCTGATGGCCGAGTGCTGTGATGTGCTGAGTGTGGGCACTCAGGGCACTCCAAGCCAGGACTGCTTTGCAAGCGGGGAACCCCTGAGAATTGTCTGTCCGGGGTGGGGGTCAGGTCCCTTTAAGCACAGCCCTCGGCTAGCCTGCAACAGCAGCTCCACGCTCTAAGTCCTAATCTTATGCCCAGCCAGCACGGCTTCCGGCCATCCCTAACCTCGGTTCAGGGTCCACTCAAGTGGACATGCTAGTTCGAATTAGCAAAATGCTAATTCGAACTAGTTTTTAGGTCTAGATGCACTAGTTCGAATTAGCTTAGCTCGAATTAACTAATTTGAATTAAGTTAGTTCGAATTAGTGCTGTAGTGTAGACATACCCTGTGAGAGAGGAAGGCAGACGGTGGAAAGGAACTCCGTGTAACATGTTTTGTGGAATTGTCCACCAAAGCAGCGAGTTGATGATGCGTGGTGGGATGGCTATGGATTTGGAAAGTTGGTCTCTGGAAGGCTTGTAAACGGTTGCGAGCCAGGACTGGAGCGGTCTCATGTGGAGTCTGGCCAATTTGACTATGTAGGTCGTAGAGGCCATGTGCCCGAGGATCTTGAGGCAGTCGCTTTTTTTCCGGAGGATCGGGGCCAGTGTAGACGCTCTTTTCCAGCTTTTCTAAAAGCCGGAAAAAAGCGGTGGACATTTTTATTTAAATGCCGCGGGGGATATTTAAATCCCCCGCGGATTTCCGTATTCCGACCTGTGAAATTAACATGCCCCTTTCGGAAAAGGGGCCAGTGTAGACGTAACCTTAGAGAAATAGAAAGAAGCTAAATTAATATGACTACTGGGATCCTCAGATACATTATTGCTATTGAAGACATCACCTCTGACCACTGTTCCGTGTAAGCTGAATGCTTGTGTAGTGCCCAGGAGAAATTCAAATGCCATCCAGTTGATTGGGGACTGTGGGCACTCTACTAAAGCCAGAAACATGTGTTTCCACTGGTGGTGCACATCTGCATATGCTTTGGTGCACACAACAGAATGTATTCTACACATGGATGGAAAAGTTTAGAGGGCACATTGCCTCTGACTTCTCTGCACCAATTGGTGGATAAAGAGAAAATAAGTTGTAGATTTTCTAGTAGCAGACTTAAAAAAAAGAGCCAGGTCCCCTTCAGAGACCATGCACCCCAGAAACCCAGGGATGTTCCGTGCAGGCTTCAAGCTGTTCTAGTAATAGAAGCTCTTTGAAGATTTCCAGATCCCCACAACACTATGGTACTATCAGTCAGACCTCAGTACTGAAACACCCCAGATATTGCTGAAGCATAATAAGCCAGCGGACTCCAAATATTCTTTTTCACAGAAGCATGCTACATCTTCACACTCCTTATGGTTTGCTTAGATAATGGCAGTACTGATGACAGGCAATCTCTATTGTACAGGTACAGACATCTGGGATACTCTTTCATAGACTTTAAGGTCAGAAGGGACCATTATGATCATCTAGTCTGACCCCCTGCACAGTGCAGGCCACAAAATCTCACCCACCCCTCCTAGAATAATCCTCTCACCTATATCTCAGATATTGAAGCCTTCAAATACTTTGAAGACCCCAAGATGCAGAGAATCCTCCAGCTGTGATCTGTACCCCATGCTACAGAGGAAGGCATCTCGACATGACCCGCATCTTTTAAAGCCCGGAGAGCCAGGCATGAGGGGTTGGGGAAAAGCGGCAAACCGCAACGGGAATTTTTTTTTTTAAACTTGACAGGGAAGGAGAATAGGGCTAAAAAACTTGGAAGATGAGGAAAATGAGGGTTAAAACTGGGAATGTAACTATCTTTTTACAGAAATGAGGAGAACAATTGGCTCCGTCTGCTGCCGAGGACGATAGAGAAGGAACTGAGGAGCTGCGCCGCACACGCGCCCAACAATTCCAACGATGCTAGAAGGTGCCACGGCGCCTGCGCGGCGTGGCAGAAACTGCTAGAAAAGTCTCTGGTCACCGGCGCGAGGATGCACCAGCACCCAGAGTGGAGCACCCATGGAAACCACTCGAAGGAGAACTGATAGATACTCACAGTAAATAAGAATTAAGTGTAGCTGCTATTTTTCTAGTCCACTTGCCTTTCTAACTTACAAAGGAAAAGCAAATATGAATAAGCTGATAGTGTGTATCAGTCACAAATCCTTAAGCACTGCATTATTTTGAGGGGGAATAAAAATTGCCACATACAACTAAGAAGCTCAGCAAAATGTTTTTCATGAAAATATACTAGACCTAGTCAGGGGGGAATATTTTTACACATAGGAGTCACAATGAAATTTAAAGTTACCTACAGTATTTTCATCTTTGCATCACATGTGCAATGGGTAGAATGGGGTGAGATTTTTTTCATCAAATAGTAAATTCTCAGAAAATGCATTTTGGGGATACTGAAGTTATTCATGAATTCAGATCAAATTTGGCAAATAATTTCAGTCCCTCCTTCTAAGTCCCTAAAAAGCAACAATACTAAAAGTATTGAAATGATTAATTTAGAAAAAATGTCACTTCCCTCATACTTTCTAGCAGACGGGTGAGGTTGTGGTCATGTTCTACCTATGCTTCCACTATTCTGTCTCCACATCTGCACACCAGAATGCCATCAGTAATAATGCGGATCCCTGAAACTCCTATTATCACCACTACCAAGACTTCCTGAAATTCTCCCATTGCAGCTTGATCCCACATGGCATTCTCAATGGTATTTATCTATCTGCTGGTGTCCAACATGTGGTAAGGTATCCATTAGCACTTCCCAATCTTTGGCATCAAGTATTGAGAATATTTTTACTTTTTGAAAGTCCAGTGGTATTTCTTTATTTATAAGCAGGTTTTTTTTGACTGCTTCACATGTATTGGTTAGTTCAAACAGACAGATTGCCCAGATGAGGATCCTAGCCAGTGTGGAAAATATTTTTGATGCCTCCTTCAGCAGCCCAAAATAAAATGCCAGCCAACCAGAGCTGAGCTGGAAATAAAAGCTCAGCATCACAGCAGTTTGGCATCGCCTCAAGACTCGGTGCCCAGAATGACTGCCCTGTGCTATCACTCCTAGAATGGCCTCAAGCTTGCCTGGCTTTTCATGCTGCTTATCTGACTTATGTGCTCTGAGGCAATACTTGTGTTGGCTATGACATCCCAGCCCTTCACCTTCCCCTCCTAAAAAATACTTTGTTATAGAGATGCAACAATATATTATTGTCTGCCCTGGATACATTTCTTCTTTTATTTGTGTGTCCATTCCAGTGATTTTCAAACTTTTTTTCTGGTGATCCAGTTGAAGAAAATTGTCACTTAACTTCCAATGGCTCCTGATCAGCAGCACAGAGGGGCGCAAAGGTAAGCTTTCCACCCATCCTGGCACCATGGACTGCGCTGCACTGTGGAAGAAGCCAGCAGAATGTCTGATTCCTAGGCAGGGGTGAGCAAGTGGCTTCACATGGGTCTCTCCCGCAGCCACACCCCCTCAAGCGCCCATTGGCTGGGATCCAGCAAATGGGAATGCAAAGCCCATGCTTAAGGGAGGGACAGTGTGTGGAGCCCATTGGCCCCTCTGCCTAGGAGCCGGACTTGCTACTGGCTGCTCCCAGGGTGCAGCACAATGTCAGACTAGGTAGGGACTAGCAGTGGTTTTACAACCCAGCTGTAGTCTGCTGCTAGGGACCCTGGGTACTCAGCAAGATAACACAGTGCCTGATATTCTGCAACCTGGTACTGGGTTGCCACCCAAAGTCTGAAAACCAGTGGTCTATTATATAAATCATTGGTCCTTGCTTTAGGCCAGATTTATAACTTACCTCAGTGTAACTGTCTCTCAGAGGGTATGTCTACACTACCCCCCTAGTTCAAACTAGGGGGGTAATGTATGCATACGGAACTTGCTAATGAAGCCTGGGATTTGAATTTCCCGGGCTTCATTAGCATAAAGCCGGCGCCGCCATTTTTAAAAGCCGGCTAGTACGAACCCCGTGCCGCGCGGCTACACGCGGCACGGACTAGATAGTTCGGATTAGGCTTCTAATCCGAACTATCTGTACTATCTGAAGTGCTACATCTGCACGGCTACAGCTTTTTAAGTGTAGACCTGCCTTTAGTGTCACTAGGCTTGTGAATATACTTCTTTTAGCAGAAAGCAATGGCTTTGGTGTTGTTTGTACTACTTGACATTTCAGTCTGTATACTTTTCAAAGGGTACGTCTAGCCTACGTTTTATTTTTGAAAGGAGATATGCAAATTCGGCGCTAATTTAGCTGGGGTTAGTTCTGCTTTGAGGAGGAGGTTTGACTAGATGATCTCCAGTGGTCTCTTCCTTCCCTAAACTTCTATGACACTTTGGGAATGTCTAGACTACGTTTTATTTTCGAAATGAGATATGCAAATTTGGCACTAATTTGCTTAGCTTCTTTTAATTGCTTTTCGAAAGCAGGTTTTTCGAAAGTGAGAGTAGTCTGCATGTGGTTTTTTTCAGGGAAAAAAAACCCTTTTTCAAAAAACCGCGTAAACCTCCTTTTTTTAGAAAAAGGTTTTTTTTCCCCCGAAAAAAACACATCCAGACTACTTTCACTTTCGAAAAACCTGCTTTTGAAAAAGCAATCAGAAGAAGATACGCAAATTAGTGCCGAATTTGCATATCTCCTTTAGAAAATAAAATGTCATCTAGACGTACCCAAAGTGTCATAGAAGATTAGGGAGGGAAGAGACCTCAGGCGGTCATCTAGTTGAACCCCTGCTCAAAGCAGGACTAACCCCAACTAAATTTGGCTTTGCTAGGTTGCAGTTTTGCTTTTGTGTCTCACACAACGTTGAGAAATCTTTGTAGAACAGCACATTCAACATTGTCCCACTGTTTGGCATTCAATTTTTCTGTTTGCGTCCTTGTCTGTGCATCTGGTGCTAGTTTGAGCTTTACGATCCATTTTATTGTTGCTGTTTTGTTTAGCATTAATGATATATATATGCAAAATTTCATCAACAGAGCCATTGCTTGCTTAATTTTGTGCATTTTTTCTTTGTTTTTCTTGTCTATAAGCTCTGCCATAATGATTTATCTTGCTACAATTACTACATATAACACTTTATTCAGGGCATTTTCCATTATGTTTTTCTCCACTGGTTATTTTTTGCATTTTGCTTATTATTTCTGCTTTGTGTTTGTTCACTTCCTTTTGAACAAATTTTGCTGCATTTTGCCTTGTATGTTTATGATTTCCCTGTACTATAAGGTGAATTATCTCTGTTTGCCCTCCACTTACACACTGCATTTGGACGTGAATTTGTTCCGTAGCTATGCACATTTGTATCTTTCAGCAGAGTTAGCGTAGGCTCTGAGCATTTTCATTTAAGCTCCTGCATCTTTCATTCCTATTACTAATCTATCACAAATTAGTTCTATGCAGAGGTGCTATAGCTGTGTTGGTCCCAGACTATTAGAGAGACAAGGAGGGGGAGGTAATATCTTTTATTAGACCAACTTCTGTTGGTGAGCAAGAACTCTGTGTGGCTCAAAAGCATGTCTCTCTAATGAACAGAAGTTGGCCCAATAAAAGATATTATCTCTCTTACCTTGTGTAACAAATTAGATCATCTGAAAGATATGATAATTGTGTGAATCGGCCATTTTGCACAGCTTGGTAACATAGAGAGCTATTGTTTCTCCAGATTTTTGATTACACTTGTTAAAAATATGCTTTCGGGCATATTTATTTTTACTGAAAATGCTTTGGAGTACTTCTGTGATTTGACACGATTCCTCCAGGGCTGCTGCTGACATAGATACAATGCTGTTGGAGCATGTGACAGCCTTTGCTCATTACAGCTAAGAATGTGGCTGCTCTATTTTTTTTCTTTTTATTCAGACCCATTGCAATTTCTTAGGTTTCCTATTGTGATTTAAAGAACATCCACCTGCTCAAGGGCAGGAATTTGGCATGTTGTCATAATTACTGTTCTTTTCACTAGTTTGTGTGTGTATGTGTGTGTGTGTGTGTGTGTGTGCGTGTGAGCGCGCAATATTCTTCGTTTCTGATTTCCAGGTGTCTGCAGGAACCAGCTCAATTCTAAAATTGTGTAGTGCGTGCAAGCTTTTTAAAGAGATAGAGCTAAGACTGCTCTGTTCAGGCTTTATTCCTTCCTCCATGTGCACTACCCTTTCACACCAAGCATTTTCACGAAGTAGAGTTTTCTAGGTTCCCACAAATAACCATACTATATTGCCTTTAGTAAGAAGCTACTTATCATAAAAATTAATGTGTCAGAATGGAACACTACAGTTGGAAAAAGCGGCAAACAGTGGTTTAAATGTGCCCCAAGTGGTCCTAAATGATCTAACTATCCCACAAAACATTAGAGAAGTGAAATGGGTATTAGCACACCAAATATCACTAGTAACACACAATCTCACCACCAAATATTACAACTGATCCCGCAACCTTTACTCATCATATAAAATGTTCCATTGACCTAAACAAGACTAGTGGCATGAGCAACCGTGTGCAAGATGAGATTTATGGATATACATTCCATGGTAGCGATTGAACAGAAGAGATAGTTACAGAAGAGAACTAGCTCTTATAAAAACCATGATAGCATTACATTTCCTACTTGCTTCTCAGAATAAGCTATTATTACTGTAGCCCCCTTTCTAAAGGGACCTCTGTTTTATTCTAAAAAGACCTTGTGCTGCAATCCAGACTACAATTCCCATGAGCCCTTGGAACAAAAGAGGTAGGAGGGACTCTTGTGAGAGAGAGGAGGCTCTCTCCATGTGCTTGAAGAAGAGGCCTAGCAGTCTGGGACTCTGCCTCGAAGTTTGGAACCAAAGGGGGAGCCAGGCTGCTGCTAAGGACATTGACCCAGTGCAGGGGCTGTTGGAGTGCAGCTACTACATGCCTGTTGGAACTGGGAGTTAGCAGGCTGCTTCCTATAGGCACAGCATGAGGCAGTAAGTTTGGGCCTTGCTGGAAGAGTGCTGCCTGGGACAGAGCTGCTGTTTAGCCTGGGCCAAATTCTCACTACAGCTGCAACATCAGCGCGCCAGCGCAAGCAAGTGTCCGGGACTGAGTCTAAGGGAGTGCACACTCTGGGATGGAGTAACTGTTGTCTAGCTATATAAGCTTCAGTTATTGTTATGTGTTTTGTTAATGCTATTCTTTGCTAATCTGTTAATCCCTGTTTAGTTAAGTAAAGATGGTTTATTTTAAAGTATTCTATTAGATGTATATGATTTGTAGTTGTTCTGGAATTAGATCCAGCTTTATGTTGGAATGAGTATATTCCTGGAGGCTCTCAAGGCACCAGTGTGCGTACAAGGCCAGCCAGGTGGAGGCACCGCCACTTTACATTCATTGCCGGCAAGGGACTGCAGCAAGGGGGTGGATAGGGCTTTCCCCAGCTAAACACCATCACCACTGGGGTACTCAGGATCTCTTTTTGGGTTAAAACACCAGGCGCCCAGGCACACCTATGAGTGTGACCTGCTCCCCAGTAACCCGGGGAGGAAAAAGGGGGGTTACATTGCCTCATGCCTTTGATAACCCAGGAAAACTGGGTAAACATGCAAAATACACATTAAATTGGGGGCCAGACACTCAGACATCAGCATTATATCTGTGATTACAAAGATGCCTTAGATTAGTGGTTCTCAAACTTTTTGGACCACATTCAATGCAGACCTTTCCACAGACCACCAGCCAACCCCCCCATGATGACAAAATGGGTGCAGGAAGGTGTGGGGGTGGGGGTCTAGCCAGGAGGTTGGGTGCAGGAATGGGGTGGGGTCTGGAAGAGAGGGTCCAGGAGTGGGTTGGGGGTTCAGGATTTGGGCATAAGGGGGATGCGAGGCTCGGGAGACTTGCCCCTCCCACTGCAGTGAGAAACCGGCGCTGGTGCTCCAACCTTTCAAAAAGAGGGAAAAGGCTGTGGGGCTGGAGTGACAGCACAGGTTCCCTGTTGCAGCGGGTAGGTGAACCCCGAGCCCACAGCTACCTGCAAGGCAGCTGCGGCCCACAAGTGGTCCACAGATCACACTTTAAGAACCACTGTTCTAGATACTTGGTGAAAAAAATAAAAACATATTTAAACCACCAATTGTAAACAGATACATCAGCAGTGTACAATCAAACCAGCAAGATAAGAGAAATGCCCTCTTCTTTATATTTAAAAGCCATACTTGTCTGTAGTGCAAGTGTTACCAGTAGAGTTGGTCAACAGTTTTCTGTCAGTAGCTCCTTGAGCTTTCATGTTTTTGTTTTGAAATCCTTTTTCCTCTAAATGCTTTGCTCCTATTGTTACGACAAACAGTACTATGGTATAAGAAGGCTGTCTAATCTCTATGTGCACCGCTGGTCACAGCTGCCCACGAGGAAGAATCTCATGTGCCTAAGC